CAAATTTCACGTGGTGGCTAGAGGTCCCGAAACGGGTGACCACCTGCCAGGCTTTAAACTTTTAGTGCCAATGGTATTGTAAACTAGATACTAGATACTTCATTTTACCAAAATATATGTAATTCGTAGCTCAATGGTAGAGCGTTGGCTGCGCAAAAGCATTCCATGCTGTGTGGGTTCGACTGCCACCGAGGCCGCGAGTTTTTTCACTATTGAGGCAACTAAATATGTAACTTAGTTCTTCTGGGCACTGAGATGTGAGCTAAACGACCAGTTTTGCTCGAATCAAGGGACGTTAAGTAGCCTCCTTAGAGCGATGGGAAATAGTTTTCACTTCAATGTCCTGAGTTAATTCTACTGTTTTATACTCAAAACGTTGATAATATAGTTCTTTTATTTATGATATTTCTAAAATAATTATCCTTTGGTTTAGCACTCGCAAACAATGCTCGTCAAAGACCGTCCTGAGGAGGCTAGAGTGTTCTCCTTCGCACAAATCCTCACCGCGACGTTCGGTTCATTTGTGCACGGGGGCAATGACGTGAGGTAAGCAGGCGTATAAATAAAGGAGAACAAAACTTATTAATGCTAAAATAAGGTCTGCGAACTAGCGATAGTCTAAGAAGTTGCAAGGCGCCCAAAATGTCTCTCAGAGTTGCAACATGCCAACTTAGGTGAATGCGCATCTACTGAAAACTCTTAGTATTCATCTGGGGAGAAGAGTGCGATTGGTTGGTTTACAGCACGGTAGAGATGACTTTTATCGACGCCTAAATAAGACGCGAGAATAAGAAGGTCCCGCTCACATAAAACAGTTGGCCTTATGTTAAATGTCGGGAGGGTTAACTATTCCCCTGTCTTAATCCTAACATTAATCATAATATAAAACTGCAGTATAGCCTAAATCTTAATCTTAGCCTTATCGTAACCCTAAACCTTACAAATAACACGAACATAAACCTCAACCCTTACCAAAAGCCTGACTCTATCTCCATAAATCTGTCCTAAGTCTCAATCCTAAACCTAACCCCAACGCTCACCTTAATCCTAAAGCTAATTTATCGTAAATTTTCTTCAAAGTCACATGTATTGTGGGCAGTTCCTGCTCCCGTGCTCTGCTTAGGCAGTCATACAAATTATCCATACATGCAACAATTAAAACCATATAACGGTGGTACACACTGCCTGCCAAATTAACATTTTTCAGCCGCCCACGTTAATTTCATTAACAAACAAAAAACCTTATTCACTTTCTTTTCTTAATAAGAAGGATCATTAAAAATATATTTCATAGGATACTATGTTCTCCCAAAAATAACTTAAACAGCGCATACTGATTAAGCATTTTGAAAATGTAAACATTATGCGTGTTTGCGTTCTCAGATTATACAAAGTACTACTTATAGAGCTCTGTCGAAACCAATATCGAGAAAGTTTGCCATCCAATAGACAATTAAATGGTGCCTAAGGACCGGCCCACTTCCGAAGCGGGCTGCAAAACCTTTGAAGATAAGAGGAACGTCGTATGCAAACAAACATCAAAAAGATGCCCAATATTTAAGAAATGTTGACATTAAAAATCGCTGATTTATAGGTTTTTATGAAAACGGAGTCAGAAGCCCAAATATAGGCGTCAAGATTTCGACTGTGTTTGTTGAAAGCAGAATATACATACATGAAAATAGGCCACAAATATTAATACAAATAAATATTTTGTCAGGTAATCCGGCAGTCTTGCGACTCACCTTAGGTGATGATAATTGGTGGAAAGCTCACCAAGGCTCTTGATCAAGGTGTTGTAAGCTTTAGTGCGCAGTCAGGACTTGGAAACTTAAGGTGTCTGCTAGTAGCCGACTCGAGAATAACGGCTACATCAAAAATAGTTTTAATTTAACAAAA